CGCACCACGATCTAAAAGATCTCATTCTTTAGCCTTGAGGTTCACAGGCATCCGCTCTCATTCCCCTCGATTACATCCAAAAATGAAACCACCTCGCAACTGACTCAGCACGGGCTCTGCATCGAGCTTCTTAGGCTTTGTCTCCCTTAGATAAAAAGGAAACAATTTCCATACGAATAAAGGAAAGGTTATACAAAACTTTCATCACATAAATCAAACCTAAAACGGAAAAACATTTTCTACGACCATAGACATACTTGGCATATCAATCTCGACAAACGCTACTTGGCCCTTGTCCAATCACGCTTCACTCTGATGCCGAGCTAGGATACAGCATCCCCTTTAAGGGTGATCCAAACCGACTCGAGCTTATTGATAGCACGAAGGTGTCATGGTCTAATCCTTTACCAACTACGTCCTTGGCTATGCGGCTGAATACAACTTTCACTCCAAGTAAAAACATTCAACGGATAATCTAAACTTGTCAAAAATCGACTAAGATCTATATACGCGACCCCTCGGTCCTAATTTCTCTAGCATATATCAAACTACTTAACATCCAAACAGGAACATAAATTTTGGCTCTGAATGTCCATAAACAAACCAAAGTGTTCCTGAAAAATCAGGGTTAAGACAAAACCCTTGCAACACCGCGTCACATCTTCAAGTCTGCAAACGTTTTGAACAAAAAATGTGACATATGAAAGAAAAACCAATCTTCGGTGATGCGAGACGTCGCAGACGCATGAAGAACAGTTTTTCGACAAAGATACCTTCTTCGAAAAAATCACTTTCTTGGAAGACCCAACAGTTTATCCGTGACTATAAAACATACAAAACTTCTTAAGATACGTATCTGTCGCGAAGGCCCAAGAAACGGTAACATCTACCACCTAAGTTTGTTGCTGATCACAACAAACTCGCAACAGTCCTAAAATAAACTTAAGTTATCTCACCGAGATAGCTCTCATACACCTGATACAAGGGTAATAGCGTTATAAAGAAATCCAAATTTTGGTCAGCACCTTCGGGGATGCTCGATTCCTATAAGCCGAGAACCTATCACGGACTTTAAATCGGTACGAAATCGAGTTAAAATCACAACAGACAAAACGAACGCCAATTAGTCATCGCAAAGCCTTAAAACTGAAAGTAAACCTAGGTCTTACCATAAACCCAGCACACTGGTCTCTAATGTCTCAAGGCATGAAATGAGATCCTAAAGGCATGTCTCCTCGTCCATATCTAAATGCTCACGATATTTTAAACATCCTAAAACGAGCAAACGAATAGGGTGATCTACAAAAAAGAGTTAGACTATGACATGACAACTCATATTCTTCCCTCCACATTCATACGAATACAAACTTGCTCTTAAAACGCAAAATACAATTTAAAAGATGGCCGCAAAGCAGCACAGACTCAAAGCTACATACGGCCAGTCCAAAAATATAATGGCCACACTTGGTCGAAGCAAATAGCCTACGAGGTAAGTCTCGAGGCTAATATAAAACACCATCGACTTCGCCATGTTTGATAGTCTCTACGCATAACTAGACTGTAAAGGTCTCACTGGAAAACAGGTCGTACGAACTTTAACTCTAAGATGAACTACGAAAGGCTTAATCCCTTCAAGAGGGTACGTAGGCAGCCTTCACTAGGCGCAGCCCCAATCCTACCACTTTCCATTTCAATGAGAGTGGGAAGACCACTTTCAACAGAACTTTTCAACCATAAATTCTCATGTATTGAAAGCCCCATATGATTAAATCTTTTTTGCTTTTTTGTTGTTTTATGATTTTTCATATACACGGGGTCTGGGAAAATGATCGGCAAAGCATTGTTCAGATGGGTTTTGGAGATGTCCAGCAACAGAGAAACAACAACAGTTGTACAAGAGGACTTAGAGCAATCTCTAATGAGAAACTTAAGAACCAGTTTTCAAGCTGATAATATGTTTTTATGTTCACAGGTTCTGAGCCAACATTACAGATGAAGCTTGAGTCACATTAAGAAAGTTTATTTTCAACCATAAATTCTCATGTATTGAAAGCCCCATATGATTAAATCTTTTTTGCTTTTTTTTTGTTTTATGATTTTTCATATACACGGGTTCTGGGAAAATGATCGGCAAAGCATTGTTCAGATGGGTTTTGGAGATGTCCAGCAACAGAGAAACAACAACAGTTGTACAAGAGGACTTAAAGCAATCTCTAATGAGAAACTTAAGAACCAGTTTTCAAGCTGATAATATAACTTAAGAACCAACATTACAGATGAAGCTTGAGTCACATTAAGAAAGTTTATTTCACTAACCTGCTAATGTTTTTATCCCCCCCCCCTCTCTTTATTCTGATACATTAACGACTCTTTATTTACCATGTTTTGCAGGTGATCCAGTGGCAAAAGAGGGAGAATAACCAAACGCTCTATGTTTAAAAATTGTGTTGACCGCATGGTGATAAGTCTCTGCTTTGATTGATAATTATTCAAGAGTTCAATGACAAGTCTCCATATTGTGTCACTGATATATATATATATATGATAGTTTTGTAAATTTTTTAAAGTTTAGTCTGCACTTGACTGAACTTTAACATAAACTTCAAAAAGGTCATCCTGACAGAAGAGATTTTCTAGACTAATAAAAGCACAAAAATACACAAAAGAAACATAAAGCAGGAAGATAAGTTAAGTGAGATAACAAATTTAAAGCATTCTTCAACGTTTGCTAGGGAAAAGTACTCTACAAGCTTTGAAGAAAATCAATCAACTCATTTTAGTTTATATTTCTTAAGTGGAGTAGCATGACTATTGGGTCTGAGCAATGAACAAAAATAACTATAAATATGAAAACATCGGATCCCCAATGTTAAAAACAACAAAGTAAACCTACACTTTAGATTGCATAATATCATATGCAGCTGGTTGGGGTGGATACTTGCTGGAAAGATTTAAATTCTCATATACTTATTGTCGCTAAGACTAGCAATGAGAGTACCTAAGAACTCTTTAAAAAATGTTTGACTGAATTAAAATGATTGAATTAAATCAAGCAATTTTTTTTAAATACTAACCTGTATATTCATGTGTTTTCACACTCATATCAGTCACTTATTGTCGAAGGAAGAGAGAAACGAATCCGTTAAGTTTATTTTCCTATCTTTTTGCGATTTATCATATTTTAGCTGTGTTCTAAAATTCCGATGCCGAATCGTCTAGGCATATGCAATACAAAATGCAAAAGTTTTAAACTATAAAGATATTTTCGGAACCTGATTAGAAGAAGCCCAAATACCATATCTGAGGATCAAGCATGTGAACACTATATATAGATGAAGTTTGCACTTCATTTTCTCTGAGTAGACGATGTGGGATTTTTTTAAGTGAGAATAATAACTGAAAATAATTAAAATACAACAAGGATACATACCCCTAGGAGACATTGATTTCTATCTCTTATTTAGCTTATCTAAAATACATATCTACTATGAATAAAAGTTGTTAATAAAGCCAAATGAGGCTGTCCACGTGGGCAAAAATATTCAGCCAATCAAGAGGCTTTATTTTCTCATGTCAACACGCTTTGGGACAGAGAAATCAGAAAACCAGTTGGTTTTGCTACGCGAAATCGAGATTTCATTTCGTCCTTGGTTTGGTTTATTTTTGTGACCGATTTTGACTCAGACCGAGATTTTTTGTTTTATATTTGTTTCTAGGCGGAGAAACCTAGAGAGTCAGCTTCTCTCACTCTTCGACTTCCTCCGACGAGGTATCCAGATTTCTCAACCCTTCTCCATGCAATCAATCCCACCTCTTCTGATAATCAATTCCTCTCTTTATCTCTTCAATCCATCAGTTTTGCCGATGAGATTGGGTTTTCCTTTCAACTTCCTTCCCTACTTCGTATTTATAGGGCCCCATTCTTTGCTTCACTTTTGTTTTTTAAGAAGCTCTTCTCTCTCTCAAAAACGATTCGATGGAATCCCAAAAAACCAACCAGAAGCTTCTTTCATCCTCCATGGCTGCTGAACAGAAGAGGAAGTCTTCTGATTCCTCTTCGATTGGAACCGAAGCTCATGGCAAAGTCGCTGTTACGGCACCTTCCTCTACGACTGGCTCCAAACCTCACGGCAAGTCTCACATTACGAAACCCATTCCGGCTAGGGCTAAAGCCTCTATTGCTCTCCCCCCTCCGATGCTTTTCAGGGATGTCTCCCTCGGCCCACATGAAGCAACTCTGAAGTTCCGCCTCATTCACTTTTGGGAAGCTAGGAACACGAGAACGAAATCCCTTATTGGGCAGGAGCTGCTACTTATCGACGATGAGGTATGTATATTACCTATGTATCAGTTTTTCATTATTATAGATCCCGTTTCGAAAGATTCCTCTATTGGATAACTCTGTTTTTGCTTATTTTTCTAACTCTGTTTTAACATAGAATGTAAGATAACATTTTCTAAATATTTTTTTCACCCATACTAATAATTTTGAGAAAGTAATATTTTGATCCGATAATGTTAATAAGTTAATACTCAATATTTAATCAAAGAAAACTGACGCTGAGGTACTGTTACTAATAGGATGATATCTCAAGTGTCTTGACGTCTACATCGTTGATACAAACATAAATTTTTGCACTGTTACTAATAGATCTATTATCTTATAATGACAGCTTGCTTTGGTCACAGAAGAGAAAAAACAACTAAAAGCTGTTGGTAGTGGACTAACGAAGTCCAACACTAACGGACCTGAGTCCGCGACAACAGATGGAACCCTTGCTCAGGTTCTAGAATACCACTAAGGACTTCTTTTTTTTTTTGTTGTAGCGTATTCTTAGTTTACATTTTATTTTTGTACAGAGCTTTGAATCCTCTCTTGCGAAAAAGAGAACTATCTTAAGGAATTGGAGAAGGAGCTAAGTCAACTTAAAGGTGTCAATCATCGTCAACGCGATGAAATAGGACATCTGAATGATAAATTAGTCAGTGAAGCAAGGAGAATGAAGTCGCTGGAAAGAGATAGTGATCGCCTTCGGTCTGAGATCTCTTTACTGGAGTCAAAGGTAATTTAACTGTAGTACACTGGTGATGATCTACTCTTGACATTTTTACTGAAAATTGAGCATTTACTCTTTCTTTGCTCAACTATTCCATGGTTAAAATGAGTTTTATGTACTGCATCTTTTGTTTTTGTAAGGTTTCATGAAATGTTCCATTGTTGTAAAAGCAAACAAAATGCCATTTAACAGTTACATGGTTTGCTTTTTATTTGGCAGCTGGGTCATGGTGATTTCTCTGCTGCAAATACAAGGGTCTTGCGCATGGTGAATACTCTTGGTGTAGAGAATGAGGCAAAACAAAAAATAGAAGCGTTACAAGCAGATTTACAAAAAAACAAAAGAAAGACTTCAAGCTGTTGAAGAACTGAAGGGCCAATCAGTTAAATTTTGGATTTTATACGTTTTCCCGTTTTTGAGGTTGCCAGAAGTCAACAATTCAATCTAAATCTCAATACAAATTATCTTATGCCCGCAGAAGCATGCCTTAATTTCTCTGTAACATAATACTCTGCTTCATAGTTTTTTTCTTTGCGTACTGTTGCGAATATTTTAGTGTTTCAAAAAAAAGTCATCGTAGCTACATAGTAAAGCTTTTTGACAATTTATCTGACTTTTGTGTTTCAGATTTTACTACGTCATAATTCCCCTAATCTACTACTTTCTTTAAGCTTCTAAATTTTGTAAGATGATAGATTACAGATGTTATGGTGTTTTGGAAATGGGTTCTCATCTATTTTCCCATGTGTATTCCAACTATTCGTCTAACATTTTGTAAGATGATAGATTACAAATGTTATGAGATTTTGGAAATGGGTTCTCATCTATTTTCCCCTGTGTATTCTAAATATTCATCTAGCCTTCTTCTTATTTCTGAAGCTCTGCTTATATATGGAGTGTTGGGTGCACTGTGATCGAGATGGCTACAGGAAAACCTCCCTGGAGTGAGCAGTATCAGCAGATAGGCATATTAACTGGGTGTAAGATAATTTCCAATATTGTTGGTGCATGCGCTGCTGTCTTTTATTTTAGAAAACTAATAAGTGAAATGGAAAGCCATCCACCGATTCCAGTAGACCCAGAGGCTAAAGACTTTCTACTGAAATGCTTACACAAGTAAGTCATAAGTTCGTTTCTGTCTCTATCTAGAGATAGAGCCTGCAAAGACGAATGTCCACCTTTCCATTTCAAAGAGAGCGTTTATTTCTATTTCAAACAGATGCCTAAGATGAATCCTTAAGGTTTTCCATTCAGTTTAATAAGAAATAATAATTTTGGTTTATTATGTTCTTTGATTTTAAAGACTCAGCTTCAACAATCTCAAGTTGAGCATCAGTTAAGAAGAGAAGTTGAAATTCAGTCGCCTCTTTGTAACCCCAATATATTCCGGCTCTATGGTTACTTCTATGATCATGTAAAACTTAACCGCTTCTTTTCTCTTTTGTTGACATGATCCTTCTTTTTTGAGCATAATACACTTTGTTGGTTTTTGTTGCAGAAAAGGGTTTGTTTGATACCTGAGTATGCTTCTAGAGGCGAGCTTTACAAGGAGCTTCAGAAATGCAAATACTTTAGCGAGAGACGAGCTGCTACTGTTAGTCTCCCTTTCTTCAACAGTCAAGTCAAACTTTTTTTTTGTGAAAAACTGACATCTTTATATGTCTACTTTGATAGTATGTTGCATTGTTAGTGAGGGCTGTCATCTATTTCCATGGCAAGCATGTGATACACAGAGATATCAAAACAGAAAATCTGTTAATCAGTGCTCAGGTTAGACAAGTTTTTACTGTTTTTTTTGCATTGGTATTAAATCTGAAACCAACTTAATAACAATGTTCGTGGACTTTGAAATATCAGGGTGAGCTAAAGATTGCAGACTTCACACATTTAACATATTCCTCCTGAGATGGGTAAAGTTAAATTTACCCATCATAATGCTGGTGAGTAAGCGTTGTGTTAAATACATATTAAATTTTGATATTTTTTTTCTTTGAAAAATAATTGTATATGTAATTATATTAGGTTAGATATCTGACACATCAAAACGGAATTGACTGAGAAATCTTTGGACTATCAGTTTATAGACATGAAGATTGTTGGAAACCTTGAGGCTTCCAAAGATGTACCGAATGAAAAATAGAGGAGCTCTCCAAGAAAATGTAGTTAGGTGTATAGCTAATGTTGTTTTATTTTTAGAATTTTTAAAATAGCTAATGGTGTATATGTTGTCTTAAAATCAGAACGGTCTCATTGCGTTGTACACGAAATGCAAGCATATGGGGAGTGCAAGAGCTGTGTTTGAAGGACTGCCAATGTTTAAGAGAACGGTGGTCTCGTGGACGGCTATTGTCTCAGCTTATGCTCAGAACGGTGAGCCTGTGGAGGCGTTAGAGATTTTCAGTCAGATGAGGAAGATGGATGTGAAGCCTGATTGGATAGCTTTGGTAAGCGTTCTCAATGCTTTCACATGTTTGCAAGATTTGGAGCAAGGGAGAGGTGTTCATGCTTCGGTTGTGAAGATGGGTCTTGAAACAGAGCCTGACTTGCTCATCTCTCTCAACACCATGTATGCAAAGTGTGGCCAAGTCGATGAAGTCACCAAACTTCTGTTTGGTAAGATGAAGTCACCAAACTTGATTTTCTGGAACGCAATGATCTCTGGATATGCGAAAAACGGTTATGCTAAAGACGCTATTGATATGTTTCATGAGATGATTAATAAACGTGTGGAACCTGACACCATCTCTATAACATCGCTATTGATATATTTCATGAGATGATTAATAAACGAGTTGCACGGTCCATAATCCTTTATCTAAACGCTCAAATTAAGTTTATTTCATACTTATATAGAGGTCACTGTATTTGATATTCGGAAAAACCAAAACTGGAAAAACATAAAAACACCAACACGTCCTATGCAAAACGTCGATTACTTAGCTATACTACACAACACATGCCCATTCGTAATCAACGACCACACCATTCAGACATTTAATAAAAAATCTAACTAACCAAATAAAAAACACCAAAAAATAATAGACATTCTTTGTGATCACTTCTTAAAATAAACATTAAAAATTGGATTGTTATTACAAAACGCACATCTCACATCATCCAAACGACATGGTTTGCAAAGCATAAAAATATCCAAAAAAATCTGGTTCAGATTAAGAAAACTCAGCCACTAAAAATATATAATTACAAAATGGTTGTTATACTCTTTACAAACATAAATATTATATACTTCCCAGCCAACAAAATTATATTATAACAGAGTAGAAGTATGTCAACGTCACTACACAGTTACAGCTAAACGCTTAGGGTATATGAGAAAAATTAAAACAATATCAGAACCTTTTTTAAAAAACATCAACTATTATTCCCCCTAAAAAAATTATCGAAACAAATACGGCACCAAAAGTGTCATTCGTTATATATCACAATTGAAGTAATACACAATTAAAAATACATATTTGTGGTTAATAGTCGAAATTAAAAATTTTTATAACCAATTAAATACCAGTAAATAATCGAATTTATTTATCTCAAATGACAAAATGTTATTTTCATAGAAGAGTAGCATTATACAGCTCACAATGATCATATCCCGCCCGCATCAATCTATCCCTTTTCAAACTCTATCCAAGCAATGGAATTCGTGGAAGAGCTTTATATAGAAGGAGAAACAAAGGGAGGTGAAAGGAAATCATAAGTAAAGGAGTAAAGAGCATATTCATAAATTCAGAGTGATCTATCAACACAATGAAAGTTCAATTCGATTAACAAATATTTTAAACCTAAACATAACTCCAAATCGATTATGAAAAATCACAATCAAAAACTTCCAGAAACTGAAATGGACACCTGATCTCAAAGGCATGGCTGAAGCAATCAACAGCTTCCGCGAAATCCATCTCTTTCCAAAATACAGAGTCTCTCATTGAGCTCCTCAGCGAACTCAAACGTCTTCTCATGCTTCTCTTCAGAGACGACATCAATTGAAGCATTCTCTGCCCGCGTTGTTGTTACCTTAAAAATATATTAAAATTAGAAAATGACACAGTTTGTATAATAAGAAGAAAAATTTCAAACAGTATCATTTATAAAACCAAATTTACATACACATATAAATTTAATATAAACATAAAATTAGGTTCATACATAATTCTCAAAAACTTAACTAAATCTTTACAATTATCAAAGAATTCAAAAGAAAAATAAGAGTTAAGTTCCATACATGAATTAGAACTACACATTCTATATGTAGCTCAAAATATAGTAATCATTCATGTTGTTTTTGTATTCTAAACTCAATTTTGGTATTTTAGTAAACTAATTTAAAAACTTATTACAAAAATACAAGGACGAAACTATATCATAAACCGCAGATATAAAAAAATGGAGTATTTTATTATCACACAAGAAAATTAATTATGAATTTCTAAAAATAATTATCCGCGCGTAGCGCGGAAAAACGATCTAGTAGATCTAACACTATTAGTGCTTAGAGTTTATGCTGTCCACGTCTCTAAATTTAATTGGCCAATAAAATTGCTATGTTCTGCCAGATCAGCGACACATGGAAATCTGTCGGGTGAGCTTGAAATTTGGGCCTGAAATATGTGTATTGAGAGATCCATTAGGTCGTCCTCTCCTCTTCTCATCCTCTCCGCGCATCCTCTCGGCGATTCCTCTTCATCACTCCTCTCCTCCTCTCTTTTCTGTAATCAAAGCCATGTTTAATATTATCCATCAACGATGGGTTTTTTTACCTTCCTCTCAATCGAGCTATTTATTGAACTCTTATTTTGGGATCAAACGTCGCTTATCTAGAGATAGAGCATCAACCGATGGCGATTAACCAGCTCCACCTTTCCTTGCGTGTTCAACAGCTCGATGTTTGCTGCGAGACCAAAACTAAGGTCTCTACTCTTTCTTGCATGTGTCTTCATTAATCTCTAATGTTTTTTGAGACATTGTTAATGATTTTTTACTGTTTGGTATAGGATAATGTGTTTGTCACCATTGTTGCTTCCATTCAATACCGTGTCTTAGCTGAGAGTGCTCAAGGTGCTTTTTACAAGCTTAGCAACACCAGGAATCAGATTCAAGCTTATGTCTTTGATGGTTTGTTTGTTTGTTTCTCAAAGACATTGTTTGTGTTGCTGTGTTTGCCTTACTTAATCAACCATTGAATTTTTATTTTTATTTTTTTACATAGTGATACGAGCAAGTGTTCCTAAACTGGATCTAGACTCAACCTTTGAGCAGTAGAGTGAGCTTGCAAAAGGTAAAACCAAACCACTTTCAAGCAATCTCCCATAAGCTTTGCAGAAACATAAGACTATGTCTTCTCTTGTGTGTATAACAACAGGCTATGTCTCATTACGGGTATGAGATAGTCCAGACGCTGATTGTGGACTTTGAGCCAGATGTGCATGTCAAGAGGGCAATGAATGAGATCAATACCGGTATGATCAATTATTTTATATATATACACACAAGTCTTGAGACTTGACATTGATTTGTTCTGTTCTTTTTCTTTATCTTCGAGCGAGAGAGAGGCAGCGAGTGAGAAAGCTGAAGCAGGGAAGATACTACAGATCAAGAGAGCTGAAGGAGAAGCTGAATCTAAATACCTTTCGGGTCTTGGTATAGCACGTCAGAGACAGGTGTGCTTGCATTGTCTGAATCTGTTCCAGGGACTTCTTCCGAAGACGTCATGGACATGGTTCTGGTGACTCGGTACTTTGACACACTTAAGGATATTGGAGCGTCTTCCAAGTCAAACTCGGTGAAGAGAAGGTTGTCTGACAAAGGGTTGGTTGTAAATTATGATGGATGACTCAGTACTGAAGAGTATTTACCAATTAAACTGGTAAGGTAGAATAAGGTATGTATCAGTCTATATCAAGATGTCTGGCTTGACCAGTTTTGATTTCATGTTTTTTTTGCTTCGTATTGAAATACAGTAAATGGTGTTTCTCTCCCGCAACTGGTCTTCACTCAGAGGACTCGCGTGTTGATAAATCACACAGACTTTTTGACCAAAGTTTGACATGTGGTTTTCATGTTAGTTTAATTCATTGCATTAAGTTCAGCGTCAAGTCCCTTAGGAATCCAGAGTTTTATTGAAGTTTCTAAAACAGAAAAATAGGCTCACCAAAGGCGTATGATTGAATCTCTTTACATGAAGTCTTACTTAATGACATTAGTCGTGATACTGATTTTTTTTTGGTTTCAGAGAGCGGTGATGGAGGTTGTCACTTCCTGACTCAGTTATGGAATGCATATTAGGGTTTTAGTCTGACGTAAGTAGGTTAGAGATGAGAACAAGTCAACAACACTATCACAAAGTGGTCTTTTGTGTAGATAAAATCCAGGCAACCCAGGCTTCATCTTGGAGCTTAGTCCCGGAGAACTGTATGACGTCTTTGCTCTGAAACTCTTTATAATTTCTAATCCAACTGATTCCACAAGGAGAATTGGAGTGTTACAAGCTTTGTAAGTAATTTTGTTTATTATTGCAGTAAGGAAATACAAGCACACATAGTAATTTCAATGTTTTGTTATCATGTATGTTATTAATCTGTTGGGTGATTGAAAAAATTATAAGTATATTAACTTATCATTTTTTTGTTATTACGTAAGGTGTTTTGCTTAAGTTATTTATTTTTATAATTTTTTATTAGTTAGATAATTTTTTTCTCAGTGTTACATTGTTACAAGGACGACTTGATTGCCCTTTGAATTGTTGATTGTGAACTGTTCTGTTGAGTTAGTATTTAGATTTTTCTGTTTATTTTGTGAATTAAATGATCTGTAATATTCACAATGTACATTCATGTTAACAGGACATGGGTCAGAGAGGAGTGGTCGTGACATGGGACATGAGGCACGAGGACCCCAGACAATATGGGATGGAAACAAAGTAGCATGGCTTAATTCATCAAACACTTTGACGGTTGTGGTCATCTGCTTCGCCTCAGTTCCAGCAGACCTCAACAACCGCATATGATGGTTAAGGTTTAGTGTTTCTGGTGAAGCTCGAGCTCAGATACAAGCGATGCTTGGAAGGGGCTGAAACCAGTCGTTTGGCAGTATATATCGAATTTAGACTGGTCCAGCGATTAGTTCTCTAATTTGCTATCAGTTTCAAGTATATAAAGAATAAAGACTTACACAGAGGTAGAGAGGAGAAGACATGTTTGTAATGTGGTTGGTCATTTCTAATTCATCTGCTTGTTAGGTTGTTTCAGAAGAGAATACTAGAGAAAAGGGAAACATGATGTTTAGTTAGGATTTGAGACTATTGAAATCACAAATTATTTGCAAGTCAAACAACAGCCGACTACTGAGCAGTAAAATCTTTGTGTTTTTCTGATCAAAAAAAAAAAAAATCTTTGTGTTTTATTTACTTTTATATGAATGTGATTGGGTTCTCGGTTTCTGAATTTTATATTGGTTTTAAAGCTCCTGCGAACAGATTCAGGCTAAAGTAGAAAATGCATCATCTAAGGTTGATTCGATGGTGTCTTGTAACACTGAGATCTGAGTTGATGAAGCATTTTTGCATATTAATTAGGATAAAAATAATCATTATTTGTTAAAATGTGTGATAATCAAAGTTCAATGAGAAACATCAAATAAAAATAATCCAGTCTTTATGGGGTTGATTAGTTTGACAACCAATAAATAACTAGGTGTTTTGCCCGCTCATGCAGGCATAGCCATCTTGCAAATATTTATATTACACTTATACTATTAAAATTTGTAAAATTACATTGAAAATAACATTATTAGGATTTACAAAATGTAATTTTTGTTTATACATCTTCTTATTTCTTATTTATTTTTATATTTTCAACGTATTTTCGGATAACAACCACGTATATGTAAGAATTATTATTTTTCTTAAATATGTAATTTTGATTTTTTTTATTAATTTATAGTTATCCAATATAACATATAAAATTAATATATTAATGGATAATTCGTTTTTAATTTAAATTATTTAATAATATTATATTATATATATAAAAGTTTATTAAGGGTAATATTGATATTAACCACTCCAACTTTTAACCTGGAAGCTTCATTGCGAAAAATCACTTCGCAAATAATAGTATAGTGGGGTTGATTAGTTTGACAACCAATAAATAATGTAGTAAAAAATAATATTGCAATAACCAATTTTAAAAACTGACTTTAGATCCATTTTCCAACTTTCTGAATAAACACAGTTTGAGATTTAAAGGCAATTGTGTTAAACCAGTAGAGTAATATGATAATAAAAGTTATCCTCTTAAGATAATTATATATTTTATTTTGAAGATAAAGATCAAAAAAATTGTGGATGCAAAAATTATATTTTAACTTTCATTATTCTTTATTTTTTTTAAGCTAAAGTATTATAACTTTCAAATAAAAACACAACTTGAGAAAAATTAGGTTTCAAAGATTTTGTGGCATACCCATACACATTTAGATGCTACAAAAATTTAACTAAAGTTCTAAATAGGGCAATATACCCTTTACATGCCAGAGTCTTTAGTGAAATATTATATATATATATATATATATGTATGTATATACACAAATATATAATCTGATTTAATTTATAAAAATATTATTTACATTAAATTTTTCATATAAAAATTATTTTCTAAGGAATCATATTTAGTTTGAATTGATAAAACATTAACATAAAAAGCAAAATGGAGACCAAAACATAAAATAATAATAAAAAATACAAGATACATACATTTAGATAACATATCACTTATTAAAAATATTATTAAAACATATACTATCAAATATTAATCATTAAAATATAATTATTCATTTTTTCATGGACATCAATGAAAATATGCAAACCATAATTAACAAAATAAATTAATATAATAATATCTAAAAAATCATAATGAAAAATTTCAAATTATCATTATCATATTTTACATCATAAGGTTATTCTGTTAATCAAACTAAATTATTATTATCTAATTTATTATTAAATATAATATAAAGTGAAATAATTTAAAATATCCAAAAATATTGTATATTATCCGCGCGTAGCGCGGACAAAGGATCTAGTATATATAAATATAATAAAAGCATAAAAACTAGACTCCAATTAATCTTCTATTAATCTCCAATTTTTTGATAATTCGCTAGGTCCGAGGTTACCACCCGATTATTGCCTAACGTAATTTCGAATATGGTATTTTAGTAAAAATAGGGAATGGACATGTGGATTCAAGAAAAAATGGAGAATTGCATAAATACACATTTTTTATATACTAATTCACATTTACAGAGACATTTTCAAAAATAAACTTTTAACTAAAAGATAAAAAAACTCTTATACCCTAGTTCTTTATATATATAAAATAAATATTTAAATAAATAAAACACACAAAAACTAAATATTTTTTTTATTTTTTTCGAATTATACTATTTCGAAATTCAAACCCTAAACCCAAAACCATAAACCCTAAAAATCAACCCTAAACCCTAATATCAATTCTAGACCCTAAACCCTAAACTCTAAACCCTAACCCTTAAACCCTAAACCCAAAACCTTAAATTCTATACCCTAAACCCTAAATTTTATACCCTAAACCCTAAATTCAAAATCTTAAACTCTAAATTGATAAACCCTAAACCCTAAATTCTAAACCATAAACACTAAATTCTAAACCCTAAACTCTAAACCCTAAATTCTTAACCCGAAATCCTAAACTCTTAACCCTTAACCCTAAATTCTAAACTATATATTTTCTACAAAATTAATTAAGGGTACTATGATTTTTTTACTACCAAAATTTTAAGGGTAAAAATGATTAATGTAAAAATGAAATAGTGTACATGAATATGCTAGTTTTAGCAATTTTCCAAGAAAAAATCATATATACAAAACTAATATAATCTTTTCAAAAACAAACTAATAAGATTAACTCACAAAAAAAACAATATATAAAAATCCAACCATTTTTAATATTATATTACAATCACCAAACCTATCTAAAAACAAGTCCAGTATGATACTTGGTTTGATATTGGTTTCATGTGTGACAAAATTTTGTTTAAAAAAAAAAAAATGTCCTCATTTCAAGTACCATGTGAACAAGACTAATTAAATGCGTTCAAGAATGATAATGAAAATGTCTGTTTACTAAACAAAAACCACAACAGAACAAGTTAAATGGTACAATGTCTTAAAACATGTTCAACTACAAATAAATTTTTTAAAAAGAAACACGATAAAAATATGAACAAATATTACCTTAGTGTGAAATATAAAGATTAGATACCATTTTAGATTACAAACAGAAAGCAGCAATATATGAGAAGTTCACATCTGCACCTGTGAGTCAGAGTTAAGAACATATGCATTGAACACATCTCTGCCACATTCCATGTCGAATATATTGTCAAACAAAGTGATGATATCGTTAGTCCAACAACACATTCATTGTTAAAGTAAAAATGAGTTCATGTCAGTAACATTCAGGAAGAGACGACCTGTTAAAATGGTTCATGGGGGAGTCAAAATAACTAACTGTTCAAGATTTATAATAATTTTGTGATTTTTTAGTTTAAGAAAATGACCCAAACTTTTTTAAAATTTTTTTCCTTAAAGAAAAAAAGCTCAAAATTTTATTTTGAATAGGACTTTAAAATAGTTTGGGCCGACCCTGGACTTGTGAGACCAAAAAAGATACTCACCAAAACAGTTGGTTTCCTGAAGTGTGGTCAATGCGAAGTATTAAGAAACTTTAAATTGAGTAATGGTTCAACATAAGTTTCAATTCTCACGGTAGTTGTAACCTGCCACATAAAGAA